TTATATGCCAACAACTTTTTCCAAAATAGTTTTATAAAATTCTCTATTAGCAATAATATAAGATGATGAATGAAAGAGAGAGAGAGAGAGAGAGAGAGAGAGAGATAGAACTTTTTCTTTCATTGCTTAATAGGATTAATCGTAATTGATATAATACATATCAGATATATTTTGTTGATCGATTTAAAAATTTTATTATCAATTACATTCATCTAAATAATTATCTTACCTCAATGTATTGCTAGGGGAAAAAAAATTTTAGCAAATAATATTTAATGAAGTATTTTTAGAAGAAATTAATGATCTGTTGAACTTGGTGATATGTTGAAGAGAAATTGGTGATATGTATTTTTAGAAGAAAATTGATGATATTTTTGAAATTTTAGTTTTGCTTAGAGATATTAGTAATTTAACGGATTGTTTTTTTTTTGATTGATTATCTTAGAAGAAATTAGAATACATAAACTTAATTTGAATTATCAATTCCATTCATATAAACATTTTTCGAAATTTTGTTATATAAGTTTAACTCAATTTCTAAATTCAAATTTAGACTGTATTCATTTTTATACCATACTGTCGTATCATTCTGAACGATTTTTATTTTCCAATAATTTCATACATTAAAAGGATTTAATTAATTAATTAATTAATTGATTCTTTCGTAGCAAACATCCAAAATATCACCAGGAATTTATAGTGAAGCTAAGAATGATTATTAGTCGGTTTGTTTAGTTGTCACCAAGAAAAGATCGTAAAAATTTTTTTTGTTGCTCGCCACAGGATATTGATATGTGGTCGAAAAACCGTCCCGCCGACGACGAGACGACGACGATGACGATGACTGTCACGTAACCTAATCTTTTGTCGCCATAGCTGTCGTCGGCAAATTTTTGTCCTTCCTATCAGCTCATCATTATAAAACATATGACTTTTTCATCGTATACCTTATCATTTGTAGACAATCTTCATGCAATCATTTTAAAACTAGATTAATCGATTTGTCTGCAACCGGAAAAAGAGTTAGAACCGGAGGTGGTTTATTCTGATGAAGTGGTTGATTAATTGAGCTAAGCGATACTTGTAAATGCCATCATTTTTCCATCCATTAATTCTATTCGTTTTCTTTCTGCACCTCTTAGATAAATCATTTTATATTCTTTTTTTCTTTAGGACCAGCCGATTGTATCCTTCCTTCTCTTTACTTATTTTTCTTGTAAAAAAATTTTGTCCACGTTTTGATCAAACTTGCACCTGTGTATCATCTACCTGAACTCTTTCTTTCTCGCATCCTTGTTTTAATTATTTTTGTTTTTAATTTTAATCTATTTCTCTAGTTTAATCAACTGCATATATTCTCTCTATTCATTCTCTCCCTCTTTAGATACAGAGAAAGAGAGAGTGAATATATGCATGCATGTAATATATACATATATTTCTTTTGTCATTAATAAAAGAGACTTCTCGATGAATCAAGCAAAGAGCGGTTAATTTGCATATTTGGCATTGAATGGGATAAGTTACTGAAAATTTACATATTGACTTTTTCCTAACCAAACATCTGTTGGTCATTTCCAGTTTAGTTCTAATCCAACTTTCAGTGCTGTTTGGTTGTATCAATTATCCTTTATCATCATTTTTTACCATTGTCAATAGATTTTTAGTAAATTTATTAAAAGTAAAACTTTTAGATTTGTCCTGTAAAAAGTTCAACGTTTCTGTTAACCCATTCCTATTCATAAAAATTGAATACCAATTACGGTTCAATTTTCGTCATTTCAACATTTTGATAGTAGTTGTTAGTATGGAAGAAATCATGAAATCATTAATGTATCTGAGATGAAATTATCATTTAGCTTTTCATCAAGCAATTTAGATAATTAATTGGTAGTTGATTATCTTATCTTATTTCAATGATTACCATTTATTAGCTTCTTCTCTTTTTTCATTCATTATCAATTTCATTCAAATGATCAGTTGATTTTGATTTGAATCGATCCGATCTGATCCGATCCTATCCCGAAACGTTGATGAAGAAGAATTTCCATCATAGAATGAGCATAATAATTCTTAGCGTACAATCTTTTAAATGCTTTTTTTTTGCGGAACTTTCTATGAGAGTGAGTTTTGGAAAGGAATTTTGGAAGATTGTTTTGTTGACAGACATGTCTGGTGAGAATGTCACCTTTCTTCCTCCTCCTCTTCCTCCTCCCCCTTTCCCCTCCTTCTTATTCTCCTCCTCCTCCTCCTCTTCATCGTCTTCGTCCTCCTTCTCCCATGATTTGTCCTCATTTATTTCTCGATCATTCATTTTTCATCTGATCATCGCTCTTATCAAATAGTTGCTTAAGATCTTTCGACATACTTAGCAATTATCAATTTTCTTTTCGCTCATCTGATATTTTGCGCTTTTAGCATAAGATTTCCGGAAAGCATCATTTTCATTTCCGATTTCTTTTTTTCTCTCCCAATTCCGTACTTCTTTTCCTCTCATCCCGCGATATTATTATATATCGCTATTGTTTGAATGTGATTAGTGCTGACTGAAGGTGGTTAATAATGGCGCGCTGTGAAATAAGTAAAAATGAAAGAGCAAATAAGGGAATGTATGTATGGGTGTGTCCATATGTCTGTCTATTTGTCTGTCTGTATTTATATATGTATATGTGTGTGTCTGTGTGTGTGTATCATCGTCATCGTCATCATCATCATCATTATCATTATCATTATCATCTCATATATGATACTTCCTGATAACATCATACAGATAAAAATTCTTTTCAATTGAATAATTAAAAGAAAATTAATATTCCGATTTTTGAACTATTAATGCTAATAATTTATAGCTAAATTGTTTGATATTTAATAAAATGTATTTTTCACTTAATTCTGGTTTTATTGATTTCTGGTTCAATTTTTTTCCTCTTGTTTAAAAATTTCCTTGTTTTATTTTTAATTTATTTTGTTGTTTGAAATTTGTTTGAATTCTAATCATTAAGTAACTTCAATATTTTCCTTATCTAATTCGTATTAATTGATTTATGTATTTAAATAAATATATATATATATATATATATGATGGCATTTGCTACTTTTACCGATCACTTCCATTATTCAGTTCTTTAGTTCCTAGAAATCGAAATTCTTTTCTTGACGTTAGACCATTTTGTTATTTATGCTTCGTATTATTTAAATTCTTAAGGATTTTTTAATTTAAAATTTAAGTGGTGCTATAGTATCAAAATCATCATCATCAACATAATATCTTCAACAAATCCATCATCATTCATTTAAAACTTTCATCATCCAATTATGTTTTTTTATTATGTTGTCATTAAAATGATGACATCATTCGATTGATAAATAAATGAATCCTCTTCAGTGTACCAGTGTACTCATATGAAATACTTAAATTCTATTTTACGAACTACTCATCTGTCATCATCATCATCATCATCATCATCATCATCATCATCATCACCATCATCATCTTTACCGGTGATTTTCTTCTTTTTTAGTTTTAATTTTAGATTAATTTTTCAACGTTGTTATTTCATTCGGATAGTTGAATGATTGAAATGAAATTGGCAATATTGTCATTAGCCAATATTTAACAAATTTAAAATTTTTGCAATATAATCAATTAAAAAAAAAGATGTATTTTCATTAGATGATATGACTCATTGTTTTTATCCATTTATATATTAATTATTACACATAATTTTGCATTCCTTTGCGCGATATACATTTATATATCTTCAAAATTGCAAATTTAATTTTTGTATGTTTTTTTTTCCGTAAATTTTTGTTTTTGCACTTTTCATTTAGTTTAAAAATGCATTATTGAAATAGTAACAATGAACAAAAGTTGTCCCGTATCAATCAGTACTTGCTGGAAAACTTTTTAAATTCTTAATTGATGTACGACGTTTTTGACATATCATCGATGTCACATTATTTTTTTTTTTTTTGTATTATAAATGTGACAAAATTAGGAATGAATTTTTAGTATGCCAAAATTTTTATAACGATGACGAAGGAATAATAAATAATAGATTGATAGAAATGAATTGATCTGAAATATGAATAGTTCATATTTTAACTGTTAACATTTTTATCAATGGTTAAAAATAAAACTATATTGATATGATTGAATGAAGTGTAATTTTCTTAAATTCAAATTTCAATTTTTAAAATATTTTTTTTTCCTTTTTCAAGAGACCGGAAATTAAAAGACATTAAATGGTTGAGCTTTTCGTTTTGGTATTAAAAGAATTCAGGTCCTTTTCAATATTTCTAATAGCAAATGATTATTTTCTGAAACTCTCAGAGGAGAAAACGAAGGAAAATGATGGAAGGAATGTCGTATTCATTCCATTCTCATTTATAATGTTTTATAAAAATCATACTCTCTTCCTCCTCCTCCTCTTCCTCTTCCTCCTAAATCGACTTACTATTTTTTTTTTTTTTTGCAAACTTCCTCTCAGTGAACGGATGATGAAAAATGTTTGTTTCCGATTGCAACATTCAGTAAGATTTCAATTCAATACATTCAACAACAATGCTCGAACAAATCATCGAATAGAAATAATTTTAATTTAATTTTAGGTTTTTCAAATTTTTAAATCTTTATTGTTTTTCTTTTTTTTTTGTTCTTAAATTATTTGATATTTAAAAAATGCCAGCCATTTTTAATTTAGGTTTATCAACTATATTATGTATTTTTAGTTTAGATTTATCACCTATACTATATATTTTTAGTTTAGGTTTATTTTGATTTTTTTCATTTGTTGAAATTTCTCTAATTTATTCATCGCTTTATTCGTTGTTTATCTTTTCTCGACGTTGAAGTTATATATGTATTATTTAAAAAATTATTTGAAAACTTTATAATATTATTTTATAGCTTATTAATTGTTATCTTCTACCAGCTGTATCAACATTATTATCATCAACAACAAACAGCAATCTGTAACGGCAATCTTCTGTATAACAAAACAATGTTGCCACCATCGATGAAAAGAACAAAACATGTTCGTTCAATTGATGACATCCCAGTGGAAGTATTACTGATGATTTTTAAACGGTATTTCTGCTTTTTATTTTTTATTTATAATAATTAATATTAGCTAAATAAAATAGCATAAATTAGAGATGAATGATATAATTAATTAAATTGATAGAAAAAAAGAACTGCTGGAGCTTTTAGTTGCAATTTGTTGTATATGATTATTATAAATTCAATAAAGTTAACCGTTGTTATAACCGATCATTGGCTGCTGTTCACAACATGCCAGCTTTTTTCCTCGTAAGCTATTGACGTCATGATTTAAAAGTGCTTTCCGGAAAGCATTATAATTCTGATATAAATGATATCATATGTTGTTTAGAGGAAGGAAATTGAATTGTTAATTAATGAATGAAAACGGAAAGGACAAATGTCCGTAATGAATGAGATAAATGTTTTATTAAAAATTTTATTTCGGTATGAAAAAATTGACTTACGTTTTGTTTTCTGTTTTTTTCCATCCGGATTTATATTTATATTTATTGATGTATATTTATTGGGGGGGGGGGCATTTATCTTTTGATTGGCAATAATTTCTAATGAAATGTTTCTAATGAAATGAATAAATTAATAGTGATAAAAGTAGTTTCTTTAATAGTTAATTTTTTAAATGAAATAAATTCCGAAATAATATTTTTAAATAACATATAAGCAAAGAAGCATAATTGCTAGGTTAAGTAATCTAAATTAAATATATTGAAGCAAAATCGTTGTAATGATAAATTGCAACGATTGATATAGTGATATAGCTAAAAATGATATAGCTAAAAATATTGTGATACTATTTTCTGCATTAGATGAAATTTAAATTTAACGTAATATTTTTGAAAGATGAATTTAATTTTAGATGCGAACCATTAGCTTGTTTTCGAGCTCGTTTAGTTTGCCGTCGTTGGCGGATTGTAATTGACAAAATGGATAAAGAAAGTCGTGAGGCAATCCTTGGTGAAGGACAAGCCCGTTTATATATATGCGATCGACGACGGTACGTCTCTTTTTTTTTTAATGGATTCTATCCAGTTCACCGATGTCCACACCATCGAAGCCACAAGGTCATATTTATCGGAGGAGTGCGTCTGGGGAAAACCATTTACTTTCATCACATCATTCTTATGTCTGCCTGGCAGATTTTTCTGTATATGTATATTATATGTATAATATATATATATGTATATTATATTGGACATTTTTTACATGCATATCATATATCCAACAATTCTCCCTCTTCTTCAGAGCTATCCTAGAAAAGTTCAGTAGTCTTCCGTCATGTTCCAATTCTGTCACTGAGCTAATAACGACACGTAAATCCGTTTTTTATGCGGATTGTTACGCGCATACTGCGCTCAATAATTGGACCTATCGTTTCGACATGACGGAATGGACACGTAATTTCGATATCATTGAGGTGAATTTTTTTTAATATTCCAAAAAATACATAAATGTTTTAAATTTAAATGATAATTAATATTAGAATTTGTCATACTCTACGTCAAAATCATAAGTTGAGAAAGATATAAGAAGGAGAGGGAGAGGCCTGATTTATGAAAATTACAGATATTAGCGTGATTTCATGGTATTTTTTTTTCATCAAGATGAAAGAGAGATATGTATGTGTGAACTATTTGCATTGAACAGTAGCTGTGTATCAATCCGTTGTAAAAGTAGTCATCAGTAACATGTAAAAGAATGTTTGGCATTCAGATCGTTCATTGAATTACAAACATAAATATCTTTTGCTGTACACTTTTGAAGGTCGTTGAGTAATGAGTGCAACGGCATTTTTAAATGTTTCGAGAAGTCTTATAGAAATTAATGAATCAAATCTATTCCGGTTTTGTATTCTTGACATATGTATATATGTACTTATTTATTTACATATATAAATGTAGGATAGAGGAGAAAGTGGATAAATGGAATAGAAGAGATTCTGTAGTAGAATCTTTATCCTGTAGTAGGATAAATTAGTCTTTTTTTTAACAAAATGATTAGAATAAATTTTGATAATTAATGGAACTGCTAACAGTCAAAAGAAATTCTTATTAATATCTATGAAAATAATAGATAATATTTATTTGATTGTTAACTATTTAGCTATGACATATTATTAACTGATATTTAACGGATCGTTTACGATCAAATTTAAATTATGTTAGCATAATAGGAATTGTCAAAATATATCATCAGTTTTATTTTATGATAGGAAGAGGTGGAAAATTCCTAAACATCAAATTATTTAATGAAATTTTTCTGCTTTTGAATATTTCAGACAGATTGTAAGTATCTAGAAAACTGGATTTTCATTTACTGTTCTTTTTTTATAGGTTTTCTTTCCTCGAGAATCTTATAATTTTGCATATATCATCATTTCGTTACTCACTTAAATAATGTCTGTCGTTCGATAAGTATCATTCATAAGAAAATCGAGTTAATAGTTTAATTTATAAAAAAAATGTTTATATTATATTAAAAATAAAATTAAGCAAAAATGCGTTAAGCATTCATGGCTTCTTTATTATTATATATATATATTTATTTATTTGTTTATTTATTTATTTATTTATGTATTTGTTTATGAATTCGCTAATATCAATTTTATGCTTGATTCCTTCATTTTTTTTTGCTCTATTATTTTAGGTATGGGTGCAAAATTTCGGCGCTTTCCTTGAACGTGATCAAGGATGTCTGGTCATTGATAATGCACTTGCTCCTCCGGCGATATGTAATCAAGCAGGAAATGTTAATCCAGAAAATAAAATTGCTTCTAGTGCTGTAAGTTATTATTGCTATTAAATTTGCTTCAAAAATTTTATTTTCAATTAAATGAAAATGTATAAATGTATATGCAAATATGAGTATAAATATAATTAGAAGTCATTCAAATATAACGATAACTTCATTATATATGTTTCGTAGATAATGATGGAATTAGCATATATTTATATATAATACAATATCATGATAGAATGTATTTTTTTTATGATTTAACCCTCTAACAGCAAATTTCATTGAACATAATACATTTGATCGAAGTTGTCACCTTATGCTTTATATTTCATAAGAAATGTGATAAATTAATTTTCAGTCTTCACCAACATCTCGTACTTCATCACAATCGCCACATGCTCACCGAAGTGGTGGAAGTTCTTCTGGATCGTTTTCATATGCTTCAAGTGTGCCATACAATTTGCTTCCATCAAGTCAGAAGAAATCTCAAATTGTACCAAATGTTTCATCCACTGCTGTATTAAGCGAGGTAATATTTGATATTGTCAAAATTTATTCTTTGTTTAATTTTTGAAAATTTTTTAAAAGTAAATGAGTTTTCGATTTTATTTTTTTTGGCTTTAAACCTTTATTAATGCCGTTAATTTTGCCTCTTTTTTGCTGACAGCAGATGTTCAATGTTGCATCGTATTCTATTCATCGTTATGCCATGTGTTGCTGTTACTTTAAGTTAGAAAAACAGTGTTTAGTTTATCTGAGCAGCGTAATTTAGTTTCAGAATGTAAACGCTGAATTAACGAAGCTTTCTGAGGGACGTTTTGAGAGACTTGCCGAACAACTTCATCAAATTCATCCGCTTCATTTGATTTTTCATGATTTATCATGGTATCAGAAAAGACCGACGCTGCTTTTGTTTTGGTTTTTAAAGAAGTAAATTTTGAAACTAATTTCGAACAATACGAAAATTTGAAAGAGAAATTTTGTACGTGTGAATTATGTCTGCCAAAGATCGAGGCTTTGTTTTTCAACATTGTCGCTATTTTAGTGACTACTTTTAATAGCGTTTTCTCTTTCTAGATTACGAAACTTACGTCGTTTAACTCTTCATTCAATTCGAGGCGATCAAATGGTCGAATTGCATAAGGTCTTCTGCGTAGATGGAATTGATGAATTGAATATTATTCAACCGGTAAAGAGTTTAACATAACTTACTCATTTATTACATTGAATTATTTTTGTTAATGGTTAAATATTTTTAGGAAATGAAAATTTACCTTTTCTATAGTGTAATTAAAACATAATTGAAATTTCAGGCTTATAATGCATGCATTATTGTTAACGGAGGTCTTTTTGATGCATTTCTTCAAGTAAACAGTACAATACGTCGAAGATTTCGTTTGCGCATTACTGGTAAAACTGGAATTAATGCCTCGACTCTTTGTAGTTTCATTCGTGTAAGTTATATTTTGTTTGGATTGTTGCAAACTTGAAGTTAACATTCTATTAGGAAGTTTCAAATGTTTTAATCACCTATTTCATTCCTACGAAAGGCGATCGTTTATATCTCAATTCATAGTTGTGTTGTTTTAATGACAATAAAAAGTAGTCAGATCAGAAGTTGCCATCAGAAAATGATAGATAGGTCATTGATATAAAGGTAGTGATAGTATTTTTTAATTTCTGTAATTTATCACTATTAGCTATGAATATTTTAAACTTGCTTTATCGAATAATGTTTTTCTACACCTGCAAAATGGATGTAACATTAAAATCATGTTATTAATATTAGCATAATTCTTTTTACTCAAAAATTTGAATAAAGGTAATATGTTTCAAGGTTGAAATTGAACTGGCAATTTTTTTTTTCAGAAATGGCGAAACCATCGTGAAATCATACCGTTTCACAGTATTCTCATTGATGAAGCATGCGTTTCTTCATCGGAATTTATTCATGCAACAAAATGTCCCGGATGTAGTAATTGTGACGGTGAGGTTAGTTTTTGTTTACTGATTTGTTTTTATTCGATGATATACTTATACTTCTTTTTCTTTTGTTTTTTGCTAATTTGTTGTTTTTATTCGATCATATATACTTAATACTTTGTAATAACTTTATATAATTTAATTATTTTAGGTTCTACGACATAAATCCAATGGTACCACCTGGAATACTAAGCAACTTGTTTTCCGACATCGGAAATACAATGTTTGGATTAATTACAAATCTGAGAGCGGGTATGTCCTAGTTTAATTAACGTACGAAATAGAGTTTAAAATATCATTTGTTGCTTCTATCATATAGAGAGAGAGAGAGAGAGAATAATATTTTTTTTCGTTCCTTGAAGTGATAGATCCTTTTAATATTTTATGAAATTAGAGAAAAACCGGAAGATTTTATGATTTTGATATTTTTGAAATCTTTTTGATATAAAAAATCATTAACCTTCTTCTTACTACATATTAGGTATATCAAAATAAAATATTTATAGATATCTTGTATTCACCTATTACAATCCCAAAGACAGTAATCATTTTACGGTGAAGACGGTGGAACCGGAAAGTACTGTTGTTTCATTCTACTCATCAACACCAATATCTCACGAAAAACCAGAAGAAAGTAATATGGCTGATCGTACTTGGTCATTATTCAAGAAATCAGCTGATACTACAGATGAATTGACAATGTTACAGCGAATTTTTGCTCTTATTAGAAGCAATGCTTAATGAAGAGATTTTCAATTTTTCTCACTTCATTTATTCACTAATTTTTCTTCCCTTATATATAAACAGTTACGAATGGTATTCCAGTTATCATAGTATTATTTATTATTTCGAAATGTTTCTGACAGAATGCTCACTTTTTTGTTTTGTTAAATTTTTGTTTTACTGTAACTTAAATATGAATGGTATAAGTAATAAGCTGGTAATAAGCTGTATAAGTAAAAATACTTGTTCAAATTTAGTTTTACCATTTTAAAAATATAGATAACATTTGCTGCTTATTACTTTCTACAAACGATATGATTTAAATTCATGCAATTATCCTAGATTTTTTCATATCGGATTGGATAAATTAATGATCAGATAACTTTTGATTAATTGAATTAAATTAGAAGAAATTTTTTTAGTAATATCTGGTATTAATTAATGCTTAATTGACTAATTAATTAATTAATGTTCGTCTAAAAAATCAATCAATAAATGAATTAAAAATTAACTCTATTTCACTTTTTTAATTTCATTCTTTCACCTTTTTAGTAATCCTATGTTTATGAATAGAAAATAATTTTATAATATCGAATTCTTTTTCCTACTGATTACCTGTAATTGATGATTTAATTTAATTGAAATTATTTTTTTCCTCTGGGATTGTCTAGCTGGCTGTAACACTTTTTTTTGTGAGCTTATTAAACCGTTCTTTTTCCCATCCTTTTCCTTCCGATATTTTTCTTTTAAATTATTCTTTTCATCCCCTTTGTTTTTTGTTTTTTGTTTTTAAAAAATCAATTTGCTTAAAAGAAAACAATAAGGTAACAGATGAATGAATGAATATTTTTTGAGATATATTATTTCAAAGCACATGTTGTACATATTTATGTGTACATGTGTGTGTATATGTATGTGTGTATTTGTATATATATATATATTTATTTTAACATTTGTTTACAAATATATGTGTACATATTGTGTTTTTTTCTTCCATGTGGTGGAAAGCTGATCGATAATAGTTATGCATAAGTAAATGATTATTAGTTATTACTTACTGATAGAGTAATTTATTCGATTACTTATTGATAGAGTAATTTATTCGATTATTTATTGATAGAGTAATTTATTCGATTACTTATTGATAGAGTAATTTAATCGATTACTTATTGATAGAGTAATTTATTCGATTACATATTGATAGAGTAATTTATTCGGTTACATATTGATAGAGTAATTTATTCGATTACTTATTGATAGAGTAATTTATTCGATTACTTACTGACAGAGTAACTTATTCGATTACTTATTGATAATTTATTCGATTGCATATTGATAGAGTAATTTATTCGATTACTTATTGATAGAGTAATTTATTCGATTACTTACTGATAGAGTAATTTATTCTACTCTAGAATTTTATAGGAAAGATACTAGTGTATCATCAAGTTCTACATCTACCCTATATTAAATTAAGAGATGTCATCATTTCAACTATTACATTATCATCTATCATCAACATTTTCAATACAATTTTTATGCATCGACAATATCATATTTAAAATTTAAATTTTTTGTATTCAAATTTAAATTTTAATTTTTTTTTCAACGATCAGCTTTTTTGGCATTTCTTTTGTATTTAAATTTTATAAATTTGTATAAAACAAAAAACAATGCAATCTTTGCGATATCATTTCCATGCTATTTGTTGAATAATTCGTTATTTTCATCAATATCCTCTACGCTTTCCTTTCCTTCCTTATCCCATAAATGCTCAAGAAATATTTGAGCTTTCTCGCCTTATATATACATATTTGAATGATATATTTTCATTCTTCTCTCTTCTACAACTTTCTCTCTCTCTCTCTCTCGCTCTTTTCTTTCAACAAAAATAATATAAAGTTAATATGAAAGTAATATTTTTACAACAACAATAATAATAATTTTGATGAAAAAAGATGAAAAGGATGAGAATGCAAAATATATACATATTTGATATTTTGATATATCTTTTTCTTAATTTTCAAATTTTCAATTATCTATAAAATTTTGTAATGTATTTTTTTAATGCATTGGTAAAATTTTTGTTAGCATAATATATTATATGGTAAAAAACAAATACTCGTAGTAGTTGCAACATATATTGAATTATTCAAATTTATTTCTTTTGTTCTTTTGTTTTTTTGCAATTTTATAAACTTTTCACGAAATCGAAAATTTTGATATCAATACGATATTTTGATATGATTTTTTAAATGAGACTTGTTAAATTAATTTACAAATTTTTGTTAAATTAATTTACAAAATTGTTAAATTAATTTACAAAGTTGTTAAATTAATTTACAAAATTTTATCCTGCTGAATTGATAAGCTTAATAATAGTTGTATTAAGATTCTACAGTAATTCTACTACTGATAGTTGTAATTACAATTCATTCCTTTTTTGACAAAAATTAAATTTTGCTTCTTGTTTTTTCTTTGCTAACATTAATTTGAACAAATATCAATTTTTCTGCATTTACCATATTTCCTTTTCCATCAATTTGCATTGCAACATATTTCCATATATAGCATAAATTACGAAAACATTTGCATTATTCCGATAATGTCAACCGTTTATCGTTGACACAATTATTATAATTTATTCATCATTTTCATTGTATTTGAAATAATTGCGAGCTTAAAGATAGAACAATTCAAGAATGCTACATCCCAAACTTACAAATGAAACTAAAGAACGCTTAGCAATAAAACAGCACTTACAGATTATAACCAATAGTTTTCAGA